TACATATACATACATATATATATATATACATACATACATACATACATACATACATACATACACACACACACACACATATATATACACACACACATATATATGCACATATATATATATATACATATACATACATATATATATATATACATACATACATACATACACACACATACATACATACATACATACATATACAATGCATTTTCAAACTTAGAGTGATGAGAAACCATTCATAGTTCCTAGCTTCTGCAAATAAATGGAGGATTGTTGATAGTAAATAGACCCTGACATAACCTCAATGCTGATAGTGTTCTTTCTCTCAAGGCTTTGTAAAAAATACTCTACACTGTTAATACCATCACTATTATATGCATCAGATTTGAAGGATCCCTCTGCTGCTTATTATAACAATCCTCTTTCTCATCTGAATTCCTGGCCAAGGCTGGAGGATCTTACATACTAGGCAGTGGAGAAAACTACTCTTGTATTTACCTTAATTTTACTTGCAAAAGCATGAGCATAACTGAGAAATGTTGGTTCAAATTCTCATTCTGCCTCTAATTATCACCCTGAAAAAACAAGGCAGGCAGTAGACCGATTTCACTCTGTGCTGATATAGCAATCGTAGAAATAAGAAGGAAATTAATTTTTAGGATCTGAATGTTTTAAGAAACAAATAAAATGAGCAGTCCTTTTTAGTGTTCAATTAAGATTTAACATTTAATCATAATTTTTTTAATATACAGGCAAACCGTTGGATAAGAAACAAAGAAGCAAAATGTGGTTTAAAAATAATTAAGCTCACGGACACTGGTTTCCTGCGTACACTGGAGAATGCTATTCGTCTGGGTTTACCTGTGCTTCTAGAAGAGGTTTAAATCTTTTTGCATTTACATACAATAATCTTATTATTATTCTTTTATTTATAGCTAATAGATTTATTCCACATGCTACAATTGCTTGCTAGAAGCTCCATAAGAAAAATGACTTTCCTTGACCTCTGGGAGAATCTATCATTATTTATTTATTTGTTTATTTTTATTTATCAAATTTCTACCCCACCCATCTCACCTGAATGCCTCTGAGCAGTTTACAAATAAAACATGCAGTCATGTGAAAAGACATAGTTAAAAAAACAATGTCAAACGGGTTTAACAGAATTAAAACTAGTTTAAAAATTTTACATGTTACAAAAGGCAGAGGGTGTGTTTCAAGCCACCAACCATTCCCAGGGTTGCATACCACTCTTGGGCTCCCATGCTACTTATTTGCCATTTATGAGAATTCCGTGTGAATAGAGGACATTGGATTATAGTTAGTAGCTTCAAAAAGTTTATAGTAGAATCCTTTTAAACCTGCAGTTCTATACACACTTGTCACTTAATTTATAAAAAGACTGTGATTCGACTTAACAATCACATTAAAAGTGGTCATAAAATCCAGTCATGGGATTACTCAATTTATGACTACAATGTCTTACAACAGAAATTTCAGTCTCAATTGAGGTCAAAGGCTCATTGCCCAATTGCCTCTTCCAAAAGAGAAATACCATATTGTAGAAGTTTTAAAATTATTTTCTCCATGGCTGCAAACCAGGTCCATTTATTTCAAAACACAGTTTTTCTTTGGCCAGCTTATTCCCGAATACCCCAAATCTGCTTCCATTCTATTCGGTGTTAGACAGTTATCTTGCTGAAAGATATAGATCTGAGCTCTTTTATATCATTTCTTTGTAACAGTTTGTTGAGTTGAAAAGCATACCATAAAAGCCATAAAAGGAAGTGTGGGGAAGAACCATCCTAATTGTGCTTTTTATTATTGTGAATACTTGAAAATACTTTTTCCCATTTTAGGGAAGAGATATTCCAAACTTTGCATCCTAGAAAGTTATCAGCTTTATTCATATTTATTGAATATAATGGTAATAGTAATGGTAAAGGTAGGCAATGGACTAGCTGTTTCATATAGAGTTCCAGCTTTTAAAATGCTATTATATATGTATCAGTATATAAAGATATTGTGGCTCAACTATAGCTATGGCTGTGAAATCTAGCCTCTTGTTCCTGATCTCTTCTAAACAGCCTAATGCCTTGATGGCAAACCTAAAGTACGTCTGCTGGAACTGGCACGCAGAGCCATCTCTCCAGCCATCACCTGTTGCTCTTCTGGGTTCCAGTGAGCACATGCACACCAGCCAGCTGGTCTTTGCGTGTGCGAAAGCACCAGAAACTAGAAGACCAGGTTACTGGCGTGCACATTTGCACTGAAAAACTGCTCCTCCAGTTTCCAGTGTTCCCACGGGTGTGTGGGAACTCTGCTCTTCTGGTTTCTGGTGCTCCCCTGTATGCGTATATGCGTGCGTGCCAATGTTCCCTCTAATTTTTTTTCAGTGTGAGCGGAAAAGTATAGTGTTTGAGCGGCACAGTTTCATGCCTGAGCACCTAAGAGAGCCACAGTTTGAACTCACGTCTGCTGGACATTTGCACAACATACCAAGCGTCAAGCGCCGATTTCTAGCGAGGTTTCAGCCCGATGAATGCCAGGCATGAAAAGTGCCACTCAAAGACTATACTTTTCCGCTCACCCTGAAAAAAAAAAAGGCTCTCTGCTGCTCAGCTTTTAGATTGTTAGACTGCCCAGAGAGAGACATGGCACCAACAGGGTCCTGGGTCCTGGCATTTTGCAGGCAACCTGT